CCGGCGCTTCTCCAGCGGGTGCCGCCCCACAGATTTCAAGCAGAGCCATCGCCAGTTTTGGGGTCAGGGAGGAGTTTCAGCCCACGGCCAGATGGGAGCGGCCCCGGCAACCGCCTTCCCGTAGCCGGGGCTGTGGGGATCTGTCTTGACAACCTTTCCTAGAAGCAGGTGCCAGGTCCCTGTTGTGTCGGGGTTGGCGGGATGGGATGCTTTGGATAGGGGCAATCCTGCCTCGGGCGGGGGTTGGACGATGTCGGCATTTCTCCACGACCCAAAAGTGGGTCTCGAGAGTATATGAAAGGGTCACGGACAAACCTGAGAAAAGGATCCTCCTTTAAAGGAGGAAAACGTGGGGTTTCCCCTTGCAGGCTGGCAGAGTTGCAGCCTGCCAGGAGCTGCTGGGGCCTCCCCCTTCCCCACGCGCTGGGGTGAGGGCAGCGGGTCAGGGCTGAGGGGCACTGGTCCGGGACCAGCCCTCGATGTTTGCAGATGGGTCCTGGTACAACAAAGGCTGAGGCCCGCTGCACTAGACAACCTCGAGGTCCCTCCAGGGTGGCTGTTCTAGGAGTCCATGAAAACTTTCCAACCAAGGGTCTTTCTGAGTCCTTTGCAGCAGAACGGCTCTATTAAATACCCCCCCACCCCCAGTCAAAAACCAAGTGGAAACTAAGAGGTGGCCTTTTCTGAGAGGTGCCTTGAGTCTAACAAGGTTGGGAACCACTAGCCTAGCTCTTTGCGGTCCCTCTGGTCAGGCATGCTGCCGGGACACCCTCACTGGCACTGCACCAGGGAGCTCAGGAAGGAAAGTGTGGGGGGCCTCCAGAGCAAAGTTAACAGATTAGCTCACCTGCTGCTTTGCTGCTGCCTGTGCTAGAAATAGTGCGAGTGGAAAGGGGGAACGTTTAGACTAGTCCCCCTTTGCTCCATAGCTGCGCTTCCAGCCTTCTCTTGCCTCCTCTGCTTCTGAGAATCTATAATCTAGGGATTGGAGGTATAACCTGTTCAATAGCTGAAGCCATCAGACCTCAGTCTAGAAATAAGGTGAATGTTTTTAACATGGTCATAAAGGATCATTTGGATTCCTCAAGTCATAACTGGATGTCTTGCTGAAACCAATACTCTCATTCAGCTATAAGTGCCTGCTCCTCAGGGATCCATGAGTGTAATATATGGCCTGTGTTGTGCAGATGGTCATGCTAGGTGATCAAAGAGTCCCTTTGGCCTTAAAATCAATGAATCTATTTCTTTTCTGTTTAAACTGTTGTATTATATCAATGTATTCGCTCTTTTTCACTCTTTGTATCTCATATTTTTACCAGCTGTGGCTTGGGAGATTAAAAATGATTTTTCTTTATTGTTTCAGATTGATGTACAGTTATACATTATGTCCTTTCTCTCACCCCAAGACCTGTGCCACTTGGGAAGTACAAACCAATATTGGAGGCTAGCTGTACAAGATCCATTGCTATGGCGATATTTTCTCTTGAGGGATCTCCCATCTTGGTCTTCTGTTGACTGGAAGTCAATCCCAGATGTGGAAATCTTTAATAGAGCCTTTTCTGAGATAAATGATAATACACTCTATGACTACATGGCAATGTAAGTGTCATAGTTTCAATGAATGTGTCTTAATACTGTAAAACTAAATTACTCTGATTTTGTACCAAGCACTTACAACTCTGCCAAGCCCCAAGAATACATTGCTTGAATCTTGAAATGTTTTTATGGATCAAATCTAATTTATTTTTTTGGAAAGTTAGCTTCCACATTCTAAGCTAGTGTATCTAAGCATGTATATTTTACATCCCTGTTCATTCTAAAATGTCTCAAAGAAGCTTGTAAATCATGCATATAAAAGACTACATAAATGGTGTCACCCTAACAGTGCTACCCAGTAAACGTTGAGGGAGGAGAAGACTGGCACGAACCACTACTTTTACTAAAAGTACTATGGGATCCTTAACATAGGGTAAATGTAACTTTAGTTTTTATGAAATTTATTGTAATTAACCCGAGTACAATAAATTGTATGGCATTCTGTCCATACGTAGCCAAAAACTACCTGAAAAGGTTATTAATATTATAAAGTTGGGTACTCAAAAATGGGCCATTAGGCTTTGCTTTGCTTTTAAAATGTTATTTAATTTTATTTATTTAATGTCCTTTTCTAACTTCCTGCATCCAGGCTCTGAGCTGAAAAACAAATTAGTTATTTCTCCTGGCTGCTTGTGTGGAGCTTTGCCCACAGACCCTAGATTCTTCACAAACATAAATTAATCTTCACAATACCTCTCCTGTATGACAATATCCTCATTTTGGAGTTAGTAAATGAAGCCCTAAAGTGTCATTTAATTTGGTATGGCTGATTTAAGGCACCTAGTGACTGAGGTTTTCAGAGGATTTAGCATTTATGTGTTAAAATCAGCGATACAGTTGGGTACAGAAGAGCATTCAATTAATGACAACCCATAAAAAATGAAGTGCAAGTGATTTGTGTAGCATCATGTGGAAGACCTGTGGCAGAGGCAAGGACAGAATCCAGTTCTCCAGGGTGTCATTGTAGCTGCCTTGGCCACAAGATGATTAATCAGTTCCTGCAATCCTCTGCTTTACTATACAGTACTTCCATTTTCTACAGCAAATGAAGTTTGTTGCCTGGTGAGCTCTAGTCTCCTTTACAGCATTGGTTGATCTCCAGAACAGGTCCATCATATGTGCTGAATGAGGCAGGTGTTATACAGAAAAGTATCATGTTTTTATGCAGTTAGTATCATAATGAATATGCAAAGGCACCCAGTTTACTTGACCTTAGTTCTGATATATAACTTGGTTGCAACCTTATCGTTTTAACCTTTTTTTAGATGTATTTTTCTAACTGTTAATAAAAAAAGTTGAAAAAAAAGTCCACCACATAGGTATGTGTTAATTCCAAGCATGGCATCATCCAGGTCTGGATATTCAGGCCCACAGCATAGACCAATAGACTAACTAGTGGTAGTAGCAAGTGTTAATTCAACAGATGGATCAAAGACTAGAGGGGAGTGAGATGTATGGTTTGTCTGTGGGTTTTGCAGCTATGTAATAAAAACACAGGAATATGGAGAATGAAGAATGCAAGAATTGCGTCGGTCTTTCATCAGTCCCATGGGACGCCCATGCCCACTACGGGACAGGGAAGTCCGGGTGAGGGTGATCCCCTGCCCTCCATTGATGCTGACTTCGTGAAGGAACATCTTGAGAAGCTGGATACCTTCAAGTCAGCCGGCCCTGACAATCTTCACCCCAGGGTACTATGTCTTCAATGACATTGTGTGACCCTAGTGATAGCAGGCTTGCCCAGGCAAGGGTCAGCCCCTGGCATACTGAGCATGTGTGCTCCATGCAGGAATGTGCAGTTTTGGGTGTCTGTAATGGTGGGGTACAATGGTAGAGTTGCTGGTTCTGCAGGGTCTTTTGTCTTTCAAATGCTGGGTTCTTGTCTCTGTTCCTGGGTGAGGTCCGTGGTTCCTGGATGAATCAATGCGAGGTGATGGACTGCTTGTTACAGGCCATTCAGTACAGGCCTGCTACCATTGTATTGCAATCATTCCCAATCACTCTCATTCATCCAGGAACCAATTTATATGGGAGGGGTTCGTGACTCATACAGTTGCGACACAGGGAATGCCCAGGCATAGGACACAAGATGGAAACTTGACATACAAAATGGCAACTTGACATTACTTTGGTTCCCTTACAAACACAGGCCTAAACCATACACTATCCATATGAAAGAATAAAAATCAATACAAAATGATAATAATACAATATACAAAAGTAAGAATCAACACAAAACTAATAATAATACAATATAAAACAGTGGATATCCAAAACCAAAACTTGCTACCAAAATAAAAATGTTAAAGCTTATCCTAAGTCTGAGCTCGCTCATGCTTGTCTATAGGGAATAGAGAGGGAGAGAAAGAAAATCCATTAATAATTGGGGAAGGGAAGGGAATGCATATCTATCATATATATATATATATCATATATCATGTACTCTCAAGCAAATCCTGCTGGCTTGCATCCATAGATGCTTCTCAAGCAAATCCCGGGACGTCATTCTCCCCTTGTACTCGGCCTTAGTGAGGCCGCAGCTGGAGTACTGCGTCCAGTTTTGAGCTCCACAATTCAAAAAGGATGTGGAGAAGCTTGAGAGAGTCCAGAGAAGAGCCATGCGCATGATCAGAGGTCAGGGAAGCAGACCCTACGATGACAGGCTGAGAGCCCTGGGGCTCTTTAGCCTGGAAAAGCGCAGGCTCGGGTGATCTGATGGCCACCTATAAGTTTATCAGGGGTGACCACCAGTATCTGGGGGAACATTTGTTCACCAGAGCGCCCCAAGGGATGACGAGGTCGAATGGTCATAAATTACTACAAGACCGTTTCAGGCTGGACATAAGGAAGAACTTCTTTACTGTCCGAGCCCCCAAGGTCTGGAACAGCCTGCCGCCGGAGGTGGTTCAAGCGCCTACATTGAACACCTTCAAGAGCAAACTGGATGCTTATCTTGCTGGGATCCTATGACCCCAGCTGACTTCCTGCCCTTTGGGCAGGGGGCTGGACTCGATGATCTTCCGAGGTCTCTTCCAGCCCTAATGTCTATGAAATATATGAAAGATTTGGTTTTACGTTCTGATGGGGATTGTGGTCTAGCATGCAAAAGCCCTTCTTCTCCTTTACTCTCAGCTAGCTCCTGGGCCCAGCCCTTTTTCCCTTCTGTCTTTATATTCCGTCTCTTGTCTCTGGATCTATTGATTCCCTTACTCTTCTACTGCTCTGCACCATCTCCACTCTACCCCTCCAGGGCCCTACATTCCCAGTTCTCCTGAATCACTATCTAGGCCCTTAAACACCAACATTTCTTACTTGAATGAGGCTTCTTATTCTCTTGCTAGGTAACCACTGGCTTTTTAACTGCTCTCAGACACTACTGACTTGTGCTTGAGTTAACCAGCAGATGACGCCATTTGATTAATATCTCTTCTGTATTTTGTGTTTAATTTCTAGTTCCGTCTATTTTACACAGATACAGAAAGAGCTGTCAGCAGATGAGGAGAAGTCTGAAATCAAACCGCCCCAAGTATAGAGCTGTGACTTCCTTTTTGCAGTCACTCGTCACACAGGCAGAGCCTCGCTTTGCCATGTTTGGACCAGGTTTAGAGGAGTTGGATGAATCCTTGGTGGTAAAGATGATGACTTGCCCAGAGACGTTGCTAATAGCAGATTTGCCTCTAAGACAAATTCACGGTAATGCTGTTTTTCTTCAAAACCTTTCCTACAAAAGTAAAGATGTGTTTGGGGTCTCTTTTATAGCCCTCGTTAAAACTAAATGCATTTGTGTTAAACCAGAATTGCTTTTTCTCTTTGACTTCTTGGAGGAATTAAATGAGGGGCATGTGTGCACAACACTTTGAACTGAGCTAACTACTTTTGCAGTGCTTTAATTGTGTCAGTATTTGCATGCCTTGGCAGCGTATTGTGCATTAATTTCAGCCGTTGTAGGAAATTCAGCATCGTAATGTGCCTTAAATGACTTGGGGCACAGCAAACTAAAACTCCTCTGACGTGTTTTAGTTTGTTGCCCTATAGCTGTGGAACGAAGCTTGGGGCTCCATGCAGCTCACGGGCTCTGCCAGAAGCCCCAGAGGCAGCCTGGCAACAGCTTGGGAAGGCAGGCTCCACCCAAGAGAGGGAAACAAACAAACGAAAAAAAAAGTAGCGAGCCTGATTCCTCCCCCCGCACTGGAGCCTACCTGCCTGAGCTGCGTGGGGACCCAGTGCTTCCCGCTGTGGTACCCCCTGGGACTGCCCCAGGTGGGTGCCTGCAGGCGGGTGCCACGAGGGCAGGGGGGCCCACCGCTGCCGCGGAAGGAAGCACCAGCCCCCTGCCCTGCGGCCCAGGGACCACTCTGCCTGCCGGCAGCTCACCCTCCCATCCCTGCCGCCAGAGAGGCAGGTAAGTCAGTATGTGCACACAACGGGGGTTTTATCAGCCCTAAATTGAAGTGGTGTTTTTAAAAACCCACTGCTTCAATTTAGGGCCCCTGTTTCATCTACACACGCCCGAGGATGCCAGATTATGGATCAGTCTGGACAGTAGTTAGGTGATGGACTACATGGTTTTTAAAGCAAAAATGCAGGAGTGCAAAAAAAAAAATCACATGGATGAAGGACCTGATTTTCCACTGTACTGTCCTACATAAAACTACAGGAGATACGAGATTAGCCATAAAAGAGCAATTCCTGAAGAGGGATTCAATGATTAACAAACAGGAAAAACATTCACAAGCAGTTGCTTTAAACATCTTTCATTTATCTTTATTCCAAATCAGAATACAGTACAACTTGATTGGAAACCAGTGCTACTTATTTAATCATAACTGAATTGGGGTCTAAGCTAAACTTTTAGATAACACATGAAAATGTGTGTTTATAGTACTGTTCCCCTTTCTTTCTTGTGTCTTGATGATTGCATCTTGCCTTAAATTAAACAGAGGCTTTTCAGAGACCCTTTCTGCATGCATGTTTTTAGAATAGGCAACAGATCCAGACCATGATGGGGAGTTTGTGGTGCTACTGCCATAAAGCAGTCTAATGACAATTTACCTTGTGTATTAGAAATTGATGATAGTGTCACTCAGTTTCTTACCTCAATACTGAATTAAATTCACACCAGCAACTCTGTATGATCAACTTAGTGTATATTTAAAATTCCATTCTGAAGTAACAAATGTATTTTGTTGTAATAGACATACATACATGTTTAGTTGTATTTATAACTCTGATAGAATTTTCAGCCTTGGCTTTGCTGTCTGTTACTGAATATTTTGATTCCTTATCTTCATCTTTGCCCTCATAGGGATTGGATCAGGAATCAGTTTTTATTTTAATAACAATCAGAAATTCAACATTCTGACATTGTATTCGACAACCAGGTAAGGTTTGTTCTTTACAAAAAATAGCATTGACTTTTCTCAGGTATTTCTGCTTTTCCTCTTGATCTTAGCAATTGATGTTGCTTGGATGTCCAGGTTCCAGATTCTTTTTGTAATGGAAACATCTTTGGTAAAAACATCAACTGCATTTGCACAATCTAATTTATCTTACCTGAAAACTGTGTGGATAAAATGTCAGGCCTTGTTTTCCAAACCTACCCCAAAGAAGCGTCAGCCACTATGGGCCTGCATGAGTTGATCGCTAGAAAATGATATTTAGAGGTTTGGTTTTGGGAATTGGCTTGTAGGTAATGTAGACATTGCATTAGAACAATGATCCAGGGGAATGCAAGGGTTAATTGATTTCCAAAAGCCTGTTTGTGACAGTTTCCTTTAAGGCCCACTGTGTCTGAAGCCAGCAAACACGTAGGCTTGAAAATTGAAGGCGTACCACACTGTTCCACAACAAGAGATAAGGTGGCATTGGGTCACAGTGCCAACTGCAGAGTCCTTGGGACTTCCAGCTTTGGTGAAAGAAGACTGGTAAATACATAAATTAAGATTTGTGTGCATATGATGGGTTTGTGAAACAAAGGAATATGCTGGCAGGACAGAAAGTGGACAGTATGATGAGCACAGGGAGATCAATCCATGATGCTCAGAGATGAAGAGTTATCAGAGGAGAGAGAAAACAAAACGAGGGATTTCAGAGCAGCAAAGGGTTCCTGAAAGGGGAGCCCAAGGCCACCAAGGACAGAGGGTGCACAGCCAGGCAGGTCACCCACCCCAATGGCTGGGCGGGGGGCTCAGCCCTGGGCCTCCAGGCTGCTGACATCTGACATTCAAGAGAGAACCTCAGAATGAAGCTCACATACTGGCCAGATGTACCTTCCCTCTGTGACAGCTCTAGGACTGTTAGATATAGAATCGGGAGCAGGGGGTTAGTTGTGTTTGCCTTGCCTGCTTTATTCTTATCTGCTATCACTGTGTAGCAATAAAATTCACTTCTAATTGAATGGAGAGGTTGTGGTAGGTCTGAGGGTTTGGGTCCTCCTGGAACAAGGTATCTGGGTCATAAATCCAGTGTAAACAGAATCATGTGTGAGGCTAAATGTGAGCACCTTTTTGAAACTCTTTCCAAACCCATCCAGGGCTGTGTTTTGCGAAATGGGCAATCAAATTTTGAGGATGAAATTGCTCTACATATTTTAGCTATTGCCCTCTCCCTTCATTATGTTTTATGTGCTCCAAGCTTCAGCCTTCCTAATGTTCTTCCAAAGCAAACTGGGCACTTTGTTTAGATGTTTTTCTGTCTTTCAGCGTGGAAAGAAAAAGAGCAAGAAGAGAACAAACAGTTACAGTCAATAAGATGTTCTACCAAGAGAGCAGCATTGAGGGGAATCATCAGGCAGTTCATTATAATGTAATTGCCCAAGTTAAAAAGGTGTGCGAAGTAGTTGATGGATTCATCTATGTTGCTAATGCAGAAGCTAATAAAAGTAAGGAATATTTTAACTGTATTGACTCTTTTGTGAATGTTTAAGATGCCACTAGTATAAGAGAATTTATACCTGAACAGTTAGATTCTGGAAATGTCGTTCACTTGGAGTGCAGCAGAGTATACTAATTGTCATGAAGGATTGTAAAATCTTGGCTTCAGTGGAGTTTGTAAGAGTTCTTCTGAAACCACACAAAGGAAAGCTACTGAATCTGCTGGACAGTTGAGGAAATAAATTCTACAAAGACACTAATGAGGAAACTATATGGTTTTGTTACAGTATAAAAACAAAAAGAGTCAGTTACTCTTTTGTGTAAATAATTCAGCATGCTGCTTTAAGTCTGAGTGAAAGATCAGACCAAATTAGATGAGGACTTAAAAAGGTCAAACAGAAGAACTGTTTGTTAATGGGTTGTCTTAAGGGAGTATAAGAGTGATGTTGTAGCCATGATCCTCTAGAAATTATGTAAGAGGCAAGGATTTTCTTAGAGTGATATCTTTCATTAGATCAACTAGCATTGTTTTAAGGGCACTGTTCATTATGTAATGTTTGATAAAATTGTATTTCAATATGTACATTAGAAGAAATTATTAAATATCTAATTTTTCATTGTCTGGCAGTATGCTGGCATCTTGTTTTGGTGAAGTATTCTGAGGTTCTTTTTTCTGTTTGCTTTCCTAACAGAAGAATACAATTTAATTCTCTGATCTAATCTTAAGTAGTTCTGTATTTCTGATTTACCAGTTCATCAAAGGGAGGTTGATATTCAGTGCATTTGATTTGTGATGTATAATCTAACAAGTTTCTCTAATATGAATCTTTCAGTTTGTTCCTAGCAGCTAATTTACTTTTTAGACAACATAGAACTATAATGAAGTCATGTGTCCTGAATATTCTAATATTATAAAAGCCTTAATCTGTCTGTCTGTATGTCCATAACACTTTATTCCCATTCTGATTGGCTGACAAACAGCCAATCAGAGTGTGAAGAAGCAGTTAGACAGGAGGTGGCAGCACAGCAGAGCACCGCCATGATGGCAGGGACACAGGGGATGGAGGTGGGAGCCCTGTTCCCTGGAGGCGGCAACAACGGAGTGGATGGAACCTGCCCTGCTCCCTGCAGCTGGTGACAGTGGACCAGAGGGGAGGGCCAAAGCCGCTGGAGCTGGCCTCGCCCCCCCTCCCATTGTGGCCGCCTGCAGGACCGATGTGGTAGCTGTGGGAGGAGGAGTGAGCCCGAGCTGGGGGAGAAGCTGGCCTGCTACTGCGGAGGGGGAGCAGCGGGCCCAGGCCGACG